TGACATGCATAAAGAGACAAATCTCACCTGAATTCACTTGTGTGAAACTACCAGGGTTTCTCTGTGGTTTTGGAGCCTGTTTTGGAACTAGCTCTTATAGACCAGGCTGGTCTCGAACTCACAGAGATCCACCTGCCTCTGCCTCCCAAGTGCTGGGATTAAAGGCATGCACCACCACCGCCTGGCTAACTTCACTTGTATATTGTGTTTAAAGAGTTCCCTTAGAAGTTGGGGGTATCATTATGGTTACTCAAAGCTTGGGAAAGGTGATGAGAAAGGTGGATGGAAGGTGGCTATAAGTAATATATTTTGAAAGAGAAAGATGCCACAATTCATGGGTAAATGTAGGGTTAGAGGAATGGCTCCACAGTTCAGAGCACTGGCTGCTCTAGCAGGTGATCCAGGTTCAATTCCTAGCACCCACATGGAAACTCACCACTGTTTGTAATACTGGTCTTGGGGAACTCACTGCTCTCTTTTGGCCAGCAAAGTTACCAGGCTTGTACTTGGTAATTACTTGTAAGCAAAATACCCTTATGCATAAAATAAATTATTTAAAAAAAGAAAAGTGTAAAAATAGTAGTTATAATGATCTATTACCCCAAATATGTGAAGGAATGTGTTTTATAAGTAGTTTAATTTAACATTTTACAACGTATTTGTATAGTGTATATATTTTATACATCACATTATATAAGATTAAAACATGCTGCTATGTATTTAAGGTATAGTCTAAAAATTTAGACAACTCAGACAAATGGAACATTTTCTATAAAAATTATCAAAGCAATAAAAAATTTCTCAAACTTAGGCCTCAGCACAAATCTGCAATATCTGCTAATCTGGGAGGCAGGAGAATTCTAACTTAAACACCTTCCCAGAATACAGAGTGAGTATAAGGCAATCTTGAATGAATCAGTTAGAGCCTTTCTCCAACCAAAAGTGGAAAATAAGGCTTGACATATAGATCAATAGGAATGTTCTTACCTAGTAACGATGAGAACTCAGCTTCAGTCCTCTCACCAAGAAAGAAAAGGGGAAAAGGTCTGTGGACATGGCTTGATGGGTCAAAGCACTTGTCAAATAAATATAGTGTCCATAACAGTGAGTTATCAAAACCCAAACAAAAAAACTGACTGTACTTCTCATGTCTATAACCCAAAATTTGTGTCTGCCCAGGGAGTTAGGGAATGGACACGGGAGGATCCTGAGAGGTAGTCAGCCAGGATGTTTGGGATAAGTAACAGAGGAACACAGCTAAGAGGCCACATCTCAAACCAGGAGGAAGCTAAAGATCCACATCTAAGCTTGTCCTTTGACCTCCACACATGTGTCAAGGTGCATGTAGAGTGAAATGACCAGTAAAAAAAATCCTATTATGGCCCCAAAATAAGAATTAGTGAAAGAAACCAACCTTGGCCCTGGAACCAGAGAAATCCAACCTTGCCCACTAGAACCAGTGAAAGAAGCCCATTCTAGCTTTGAACAGAGTCAATAAAAGGAAGGCACCCCGACTCTAGACACAGTGCCAGTGAAATAAACTCACCGTGACACTGAAACCATAACCAGTGAAAAAACACACCCTATCTCTGAGTCCTGATTCACTGAAATAAACTGACCCTATTCCTGAAACCAAAACCAGTGAAAAAAAGTATACCCTAACCCTGAAACCAGAACTAAGCAAACACATCCTGAGCCAAAGAATACACTGGAATTAGAACAAAATAAGACTCTGACCAACTGAACATAAAACTAAACACTCCCATAGCAGAGAAACCATCAATAACTGAGCATAAAACCAGCTAATCACTGAGTATAAAGTCTATCCAATCTGAGCTTGTCTAAGATCAAGGAGATTGAAACCTGAACACTTCCCTTCCTGAAAATCTTCCTGGAGAAACTCTACCCTTAAGTATCCCTAGAAAAGTTTCTGTGTCTGCTTAGTTCAGAGTTTCCCTTCCACACTCTTGTAGAGTCACTCAAATTTCTGGCTTCCTCTGCTAATGAATCTTGAAATCATTTTAGGTGAAGATTTTCTATTGCTGGCACAGATCAGAATCTCTGCTTGGCAGCTCCTTCAGGGGAACATAGCTGAAGAAATAACTTTTTTTCTATAACCACAGTGGATTGCTACATTTCTTCAGGGAATTCTCTTAGAAGACGGAAGCAGAAGTAACAACTTGGGCAGTAGCTGAGAGGAAAAGGTGCTTCTGATGTGAGTCTCCATTGGGAGCAAAGTAGTGATCAGCTGTCTCGAAGAGAAGAGCAGGTTTGCCATATTTTTTGGGAGACCATCCTACACTGGATCCCAGCTGCAGTTATAGCCTGACATCCTGACAACAGGACAGCTTTTTCCATACATTTGTAGGTAAACAGGATACTTTCCCTTCACAGTTGTAGGTATAGCCTCACTTCCTAATAAATCAGGATACCTTTCTCCTCACAGCTGTAGGCATACACAGGATATTTCCCTCCACAGCTGTTCATATTTCCTGCCTTTCTTACAAGTCAAGATACCTTTCTTCTTATAGCTGGATGTACCCAGAACACCTTCCCTTACTGCTGTAGGTACAGCATGAGTGGATGAGATGTTAAGATACTTTAGTTCCATGTCTATAACACTTGTAGGCATATCTGGACTTCCCAACAAGTTAGGATAACTTTTTCTCCAGAGTTATAACACTTTCAGGGATAACCTGACGTCCTGACAAGTTAGGACACTTTTCTTCTGGAGCTGTAACACTTGAAGTGCACACACACCAGCGTTCATACACATTTAATCACACCCATGTATATGCATGTATGCATGCATGTTACACACACCCAAACTCACCCACCCAGAAGAAATAGAAATTCTGAGTATACTTTGTTCTCATTAATTGTCCATTAGCTTGGCACAAGCTAGAGTTGTCTTGGTAGAGAAACCTAATTGAGAAAGCACCTCCATCAGCTAGACTGAAGACAATTCTGTAGGGCATTTTCTTGATTAATGATGCATATGGAAGGGCCCAGGCCATTGTGGGTGGTTTCATTCTGGGTCTGGTGTCCCTGGGTGCTGTAAGAAATCAGATTGAACAAGGCCTGAGGAGCAAGCCAGTAAGCAGCACCCTACCATGGGACCTGCGTCAGTTCCTGCTTCGAGAACATGGAATAAGTTGTTTCTTCCCCATGTGCTTTGTTGGCATGTTGTTTCCTCAAAGCAGTTGGGAGCAAACTATCCTCAATAAACTTATCCTCAATAAAAGTTTGAATTGGCAATAATAAAAAGCAGAAGCCCAGTTACTTTTCTGGTCAATTTACCCAGCATTTAAAGAAACAATACCAATTGCTCATAAACTGCTCAAAATATTAAAAAGAAAGATGCGAAGGAACCTTTAAAGACATCTTTATGAATTTCAAGGAACCAAAAATCTTACACACAGCTACTGAGTTCGAAAATTAGGCAGCTGCTTTGAAATGGAGCCCAGTAGCTCTTCAATACATGAACCAGAGAGAAATATCTAACAGTATTGAAAAGGAGAAGAGAAGAGTAGTTATCTTTGTGCAGAGTGGAAGCAACTGTGAGCATCTCACCACAATTTTCCAGAATTTTCTACAGACTTTTTGTAGGGGAGACTTAGCCAATCACTTTACTTGGGGGCAGGGTCCCCCAAGGATATTTTTTACTTATAAAGATTGCCTGCATGCTCCCAGCCGCCCCCTCTGCTTTCCTGTTCTCCGCGGGAACCTGTGGTTCTGTAAGTCTATTTCCCCATTAAAGCTGTATATATTTTTACAATCTGTCTGCATTCATTTACGCCATTACAACTTTTCATGGGAGAGATAATTTATAAAATAAGATTAGGACAGAAGCTAATGCAATATTTGATGATTTGCCCTTTTGCCCTCCCACTGATTAAGCTATGATAATTTTCTATAATCCAATATTTCTTTTAAAATGTTTTTTCATATCTGTTGAAAACCACCATTGAATGCCACAGAAATTTATTTAAACATTGTTTTCAAATTGCACATCAAATTTTCATTATTTTTTGTAATGTGGATTAACATATATTGTGCTGTAAGTAAAATTTGTACATATTAATCATTGAATTAACGATATCTTTTTTCTATGTCTCTCTGTGTGTGTGTGCATATGTGCATGCATGCACGCATGTGGATGTGTGCATGTGTGAATGTATTTCATGTATTCCAGGCTGATCTCAACCTTACTTTGTGCTTGTGGAGTTTCTTTAACTTCTAATCTCTTCATCTCTGTCTCCTAAGTATGAGAATTATAGTTATGCACCACGATGCTATACATGTGCCCTTCATTTTTTCCTAAACTAGATTCCTAGTGATGGCAGAGAAGGATGAAAAGATCTGACATTTAAGGTCGTCTGTTCATTTCGCAATTACTGTTTAAGAAGTTTATATTGATTTATTACCCCTTCCACTTCTTTTTTTTTTTTTTTTTGCTTCAGCTGCTGTTTATTGACACTCAGGTGGGCACTATAGCAACAGGCCTGGAGATGCTGCACAGTAGAACGGAGGTGGAGAGTGCAGGGTGTGACCGCAGTGACAGCTGAGAAGTGCACAACGAGCAGTGGGGGAGGCCAAAGCTGTTGGGGAAGCAAGTCCGGCCTGGGGGCCAGAGGTTATTATCTACACAGGAACCTGGGCCCCACGCCCTAAGCCCCTACTCTTGCTGTCTCCTGACTCCAGGCCAGGGCTGGGAGTTCTCTGGACAACTTTCTACAGGAGCAAAGTACACAAGAGATGTTGCTGCCCCTTTGTGATAAAGCCAGAGGGTTTCCAATTCTGCATTCCTCTGTCACCCCTGGTTTGGGTAGGGCCATATGATAGACAGACAGCTGGGCTCTATTCCATGTTTCAGCAACAGTAATTTTCCGGGGTGTCCCAGCCCACCAGCGCCACACTCTGGCCCAGAGTGAGCACTACAAGCGTTACTGGCCTAATGGATGGGATGGGGGAGGGGATGGGACAGGGGCTAGAAGAGGGGCTCCAGAGGGCCATCAAGGCACAGGCACTACACGCATGGTGTTGGTGAAGCCAGAGCCAGGGCACCACCCAGTCAGCACAATGACCACATCTCCCTTCTTGAAGAAGCCTCGGGCCTTGCCAACATTCATGGCCAAATTCACACGGAGGTCTACATCCTCAGCCCAGGCGTCCTGCACTGCATCCTTACACAGCACAGGGAAGATGCCTCGGTACAAATGGGCCTGGCGAGCTGTCTGGGGATTGCGCGTCACAGCAATGATGGGCGCACGCGGGCGGTACCTGGCCACCTGGTGAGCACTCCTGCCAGACTTGGTGAGCACGATAATGGCCCCACTGCAGCACTTGAAAGAGGCCTCCACAGCACCCACGGCAGCAGCTTCTGTGGGGTCGCTGGTGATAGGCGCCAGACGGCGGAGTTCCTCGAATAACTGCAGGTGGTAGATGGCAGCCTCTGCCTCACGGGCAATCAGGTGCTGCATGCGAACGGCTTCCAGAGGGTAGTCCCCTTTGGCGGTCTCTCCAGACAGCATGATGCAGTCTGCTCCATCTAGGACTGCATTGGCCACATCACTGCCCTCAGCACGTTTGTGCTATGGGATACAGCAATGAAGGAATTCTGTTCCCTCAGACAGTGGCCTCAGACTCACAGAGATATGAGATAGGGGATCCCAACAAGACACTAAGTAAATCTATATCTAAATCTCTTATCCTTCTATTGAACTCAGGATTTAAATGTTGAGTGAAATTCCTGCTGGCTCAGAAAGGTTGAATAACAAGTTCCTAATGTGTCCTTGTTGTTGGCATTTATGAAAAATGGAGTGTCTTTCTACACGGTCCCCACTTAAAAACTCTCACTAGACTTAGTTTCTCCCTACAGCTTCCTGTCAGATGGTTGCTGATGTTGCCTGTTAACCACAGGTTAATTTTATTTAATCATAAAATGTAAAACATGCTTGCATCATTAAAAAGGCAGCAAAAAGTGTAGTGCACCTTTACACAGTGAAAATAATTTTCTACAACAGCAGACCACTATTGGACATGGGACCACTATTGCTGGTGGGAATGCAATCTTGTGCAACCACTGTGGAAGTCAGTGTTTCGGTTTCTCAGGAAATTCGGGATCAACCTACCCCTGGACCCAGCAATACCACTCTTGGGAATATACCCAAGAGATGCCCTATCATATGACAAAAACATTTGTTCAACTATGGTCATATCAGTATTATATGTAATAGCCAGAACCTGGAAACAACCTAGATGCCCTTCAATGGAAGAATGGATGAAGAAAGTATGGAATATATACACATTAGAGTACTACGCTGCGGTAAAAAACAAGGACTTCTCGAATTTTGCATGCAAATGGATGGAAATAGAAAACACTATCCTGAGTGAGGTATCCCAGACCCAAAAAGATGAACATGGGATGTACTCACTCATAATTGGTTTCTAGCCATAAATAAGGGTCACAGAGACTACAATTGTTGAACCTAAAGAAGCTAAATAAGAAGGTGAACCCAAAGAAAAACATATAGTTATCCTCTTGGCTATGGGAAGTAGACAAAATTGCCGGGGAGAAATTGGGTTCTTGGGGGTGGGGTGAGATGGGGGTAAGGGGAGATGGGGAGAGAAAAGTGAGAAGGGAAGGAGGGGGGGAACTTGGGGAAACAGGAGGATTGGGAAAAAGGAAGGTTGGACAAGGGATCACGGAACCACAATTCTTAGTTAAGGGAGACACCTTAGGGTTGGCAAGAGACTTGACCCTAGAGTGGATCCCAGGAGCCCATGGTGATGTCCCCAGTTAGTCCCTTGGGCAGCTGAGGATAGGGAACCTGAAATGACCCTATCCTATAGCAATACTGACGAATATCATGCATACCACCATAGAACCTTCATCTGTTGATGGATGGAGATAGAGACAGAGACCCACACTGGAGCACTGGACTGACCTCCCAAGGTCCCAATGAGGAGTGGAAGGAGGGAGAACATGAGCAAGGAAGTCAGGACCACGAGGGGTGTACCCATCCACTGAGACAATGGGGCTAATCTATTGTGAGCTCACCAAGGCCAGCTCAACTGTGACTGAAAAAACATGGGATAAAACTGGACTCTCTGAACATGGCGAACAATGAGGGATGATGAGAAGCCAAGGACAATGGCACCAGGTTTTTACCCTACTTCATGTTCTTGCTTTGTGGGAGCCTAGCCAGTTTGGTTGTTCACCTTCCTGGACATGGACGGAGGGGGGCGGACCTTGGACTTTCCACAGGACAGGGAACCCTGACTGCTCTATGGACTGGAGAGGAAGGGGGGAGGAGTTTGGGGGAGGGGGAGAAGGTTGGGAGGAGTGGGAGGGAAATGGGAGGCTGGGAGGAGATGGATAGTTTTTTTTTCTTTTCTCAATAAAAAAAGAAAAAAATGTAAAACATGTTTGCATAATTAAAAAGGCAGCAAAAAATGTAGTGCACCTTTACACAGTGAAAATAATTTTCCACAACAGCAGACCACTGTTGGAGGTCAGACCTCACTCCATATGGTGTGGATGATGTGTAAATAGAGACTGTACTTTTGTTTCCTGACCTCCCAGGCTTGAATAATCACACAAAACTATATTAGTTACAACACTACTTTGTCAACAGCACAGGCATATTGCTATATAGTTCTTACATCTTAAATTAACCCATTTCTGTTATTTTATATTTTACTATGAGGGTCATGGTTTCTTACTTCACATCATGACTCTTGGGTGGCTACATAGCATCTGCATGACTCTGCCTTCTTTCTGCCCCCATTCAATTTAGCTTTCCAAACTAGCTATAGTCTGCCCTGCCATAAGCCAAAAAAGATTCTTTATTAAACAGTGGTAATAAAGCATGTTCTTACCATACAGAAGGGAATCCCAAATCAATGATGCCTACCATTGAGGCTTGTGTGCATGGGGAGTGCAGACCCTCAGTGTCTCTGAAGCTCCAACTGCTCATAAGGTCTCAGAAAGGGACCCTAGGGAGGTTGGGCAGCTACCTAGGATAGAGCACAATGATAACATGATGGCAGGTAGAACAAGCCCCCTCAGATGAATCAGGAATACTGAAAGATGCAGTTGTTGGGTGGGGTTGAAGAGGAACCCCAGCTTAATGTTGTTCAGGGTGTTTGGTGTCCTCTGACCAGACAGGTCTGGATTCTTGTGATTTTTGACAGACCTAACTTCAACCTCTGGCGACATCTCCCGGAGGTCTAAGTCTTGCCTAAACTGTAAGAAATTCATCCAGCTCTGTTCATACTCGGGGAGAACACCATGCTGCCATGAATGTGTCTACATAATCATGTTCATATATGTACTACATAAAGGTATAAAAGGACTGGAATTGAGCCGGACTAGATATTAGAAAAGTAGGATTATTGTTCCCTGATCTTGGTATAATATTACAAACCAATGGGTAGAACAGAGACAGCAAACTCCATTGGAACAGGTACAGGGGAGTAACTGAAGAGTGAGTGAACCAGGGCCAGAGCCCACTGAGGGTCCGGACATAAATCTGGGACCTTCAAGGGAGTAGACCTAAGCCAGACCAGGACCCCTGTTTGTCTTGGTGTGAGTCTAGGACCTCCAAGGAAATGGTTCTGAGCCAGGACCTCTGCCACTCTGAGACTGAATCTGGGACCTCTGAGGGATTAAGCAGAACCAGAGATCTCTGTAGAGCCAAGTGTCAGTCATGGACCTTAGAGGGAAAAATGCTGATCCAGGACCTCTGTTGCTCAGGGCCTTGGTCAGGGACATCAAAGGGAATAGACAGGAAACTGAAACCTCTGCAGGTCCAAGTGTGAATCTGAGAACTCTGAGGGAGTAAGACTGAGCCAGGTCTTCTACTGTTCTGGGCGCACTTGAGCCTGGGAATTCTGAAGCAATAGACCAAAGGCAAAGATATTTGCAAGACCAACTCCAAGCCAGGGACTTCTGCAGGAGGAAATCCAGACCAAAATTTACAGAAACAGGTCAAAGCTGGTAACCTAGGCCAAAGTAGTCCTGAGACAGCAAACTCCAAGTGAGCAGAGCAAAGCCCAGGAATGTTGAGCTATCTCTAGGAACACGGGATAACCAATGGGGTAACTAGAACTATAGTACTGATAGTACCACAAAACAATCATCTGAGCTTTGGATTAATGGACACCTAGAATATTAATCAATAGAATCTCAGACAGCTGCAACATGCACCTAAGAGTGGAATAAAAGTACAAAAGGTAAAACCATATGCAACACCACAAAGAGCAATAAAACACCAGGAAAACCTAAAGAACCTTCAACAGCAAGACTTGAACAACAAAATATAGATGAAGCAGAAGAAAGTGACCTAAAAAATAAATTCAAGAGTTTGTAACTCATAAAGAGGAAATGAGAAATTCCCCCAAAGAATCGGAGGGAAAGGCAAAAAAAAAAATTGGAAGACATCATCAAATCCCTTAAAGGAATCCAAGAAAAAGCAATCAACCATATGAAAGAAACTATTCAAGACTTGAAAACTAAAATAGAGACAATAAAAAAAACACAGACTGAGGGGATTATAGAAAAAGCAATAATGAGAAAATGATAAGGAACCACAAACACAATCATGAATAACAGTATATAAGACATGGAAGAGAGAAGCTCAAGCACTGAAGATATAATACAGGAAAAAAACTCATCAGTTAAATAAAATATTAAATGTATCAAAAGCTTAACCCAAAATATCCAGGAAATATGAGACACCATGAAAAGGCCAAATCAAAGAATAATAAAAATAGAAAAAGAAGCTCAACTCAAAAACACACAAAATATATTTAACAAAAATCATAGAAGAAAACTTTCTCAACTTAAAGAAATATATACCTATGAAGATAAAAGAAGTTTACAGAACACCAAATAGATTGGATCCATAAAAAGACCCTTCAACACATAATAATCAAAACATTAACATATAGAGTCAAGAAGGAATATTAAGAGCTGCAACGGAAAATGGCCAAGTACCATATAATGGTAGACCTATCAGAATTATACCTGACTCCTCATTGGAGACAGTGAAAGCCAGAAGGTCATGATCAAACATTATACAGACATTAAGAGACCACAAGTGCCAGCCCAGACTACTATACCTAATAAAACTTTCAATTACCATAGAAGGAAAAAAACAAGACATTCCATGAAAAAACTAGATTGAACCAGTACCTAGCTACAAACTCAGCCCTACAAAAAATACTAAAAGGAAAACTCCAACTGAAGAAAATTGGCTTAACCAACAAAAACATAGACAATTGATGGTCACATAGTAGCAAATTCCAAAGAAGGGGAAAATGCACAAGTTAACATCACCAACAATGAATACTAAAGTTAACAGGAGATAGCAATCACTGGTCATTAATATCCCTTAATGTAAATGGACTCAACTCACCTATAAAAAGACACAGGCTAACAGATTGCATGTGAATACACAATCCATTTTTCTTCTGCATACAAAAAACAACCACATATCAACCTCAAAGACAGACACTGTCTCAGAGTAAAGGTTAGGAAAAAGGATTCCAATCAAATGGAAATAAGAAACATCAG